AGAAGACACTGATTCATTCTCTAGAAATAAGTTAGATAAATTAGGTGGTGATTCAGCTTGCGTGAAACAAGTTGACCACCCCATTGATTACTTTCTGCCGAAGGATTAAAAGAAAAAAGGATATGGATGAGTCTAATATACAAAGGAAATCACTGCCTGTGGAAAATAGCTGCTCATTGATAACCAAATTGAATAATTTTGTTTGTACTAATACCAGTTCTTATGAAGAAACTTCCGCTGAAAACTGCTCAGTAGATCATGAAGCAGATTTGAAGCACTCCAGAGAGGTATGTAATATGAAGCCTATCTTTTGTCAATTTGGAAATAAGGTATCTGCCTATGAGCACAAACACAATAATGTGAAATGAGATCAGAAATAAGATGCGACATGGAAAATACATTCTAGTTTACATATATTCTATAATAATACATATGTATAAAAACAAGGTCAGAATAAAAGGTGCATCATTGTTAGTGCTTAGTTGTCCTCGAGTGACTGACTTACTCCACTATTATTAACCTGACTTCATTTCAGTATATGTAATTTGTAATCACCGATCTAATTTCTTTGCTACAGATCATTGATTTTACATACGCTCATGCTGGATCTGCTGCCGCCGGAACTAAAATGTAGGTTCACGTTAACTTCAGAACTTATTGGTTTCTTATATTTTAATTGCTTACTTCATTAATTGGGACAGTTTGATTGATGCATGAAGAAGAACAACTGCATGATGAGGAAAAGACAGGCAGTGACGCCTTACAACAGACTGGAAAATTTCTTGGCCAGAGTGCTCAAAGTGCAATGGATGTTGAAGTTCTTTGCACAGATCATTTAAGAAAAAGTAGTGATACTAGAGACTCCTCTTTTGAAGCTGTAACTCTATGTAAACTAGGAAAAACCCATGCATTGATAAGAGATGAAGCTCAAGTTTTATCAAGTGATGATCTTAAAGCAAACCCCTCATTTAGGCAGATCACTTCCTTATTTGGACTAGTCTGTTATCCCCACTGGTAGGACTTCATTAATTTCTAGGAATGGATTTGAACCAGTCACATTATCAATTCACATTGTGTTTAACTTACAATACTTTATCTAAAAGAATTCTTACTAGCAGATTCATGTGGCACTGTGGAATGCAATGTTGACTTAAACTTGAGTTCTCAGAAGCAACCTGACCTGGCTGCGCCAAAAACTATGTGGGACCCCTTGGATTTTACTAGCATAAATAATGCCACTGTATTGCATGAACTCTCCTCCAGAAATATGAGCTGCGAGAATTGAAAGAGTAGAAACTCATGCTTCACGGTTACACAAAGATGCATTTGAATTTTTAGAAGTACTCTGGATCCATGTACCCAAAATTTCCCTGCACTTCTGTGGTTAAGTGAGTTTTGTCAAGGGGAATTGATTTTGAAGTCCCAAAGTCAGATAGTTTAGCACTGTAGCTATGGTCTAGAAGAATGTTAGAAGATTTGATGTCTCTATGGAAGATGGGGATTGAAGCTGCAGAGTGCATATATGATACTGCTCCGGCAACTTCACAAGCGATCCTGAAGCGATGTTCCTATGAAAGTGATAATGGAAACATAAATTTTAACAGTATCGCTGCGTGGCTATATTCTATAAATATAAATTTTTACGTAACGCCGGGCGGCTGTACTCCACAAATAGAAATTATAACAGTATCGCCGCACGGTTATACTTCATAAATAGAAAATTTTAACGTACAGCCGCGTGGCTTTAAACTATAAATAGAAATTTTAACAGTAGCGCCGTGGGCTATACTCTATAAATAGGAAATTTTTGGGGTAAAGCCGCGCGGCTATACTCCATAAATAGAAATTATAACAGTATATCCACTCGGCTCTACTCTATAAATAGAAATTATAAACGTACCGCCGCCGGCCAATGCCATCTGAGTACAATATTTTAACAGTATGGCCGTGCGGCTATACCCGATAAAAGTATAAATTTAGTTTCTTTACTTTTTTTTTTGGCCAACTTCTTTTATTTAATATATGTAATTAAGTAATATCTTTAGTTTTTTAAATTACTTTAATTAATAATTATATTTTAATTATTATTTCTTCAGTGCAAAAGTAGAATATTTTAAAGTATAAACGCGCGGCTAGACTATGTAAGTACAAGTATAGCCGGCCGGCTATACCGTATAAATAGGAATTTTATACACTGTGGTGGACTTTGTATTTCCTTATAAATAGAAGTATGAAGGGGTTTTGTGTGGCGTGAAGGTTGTGTGTTGCTTTGGTCTCTAAAGATAGAGGTGTTTTGTTTTTCCACAGGACTGTCATTTAATTTAAAATATCACTAAATTATGATACAACTGTGGTGGACTTTGTATTTCCTTAATGTTCACATGTATTTTGTATATGGCTTTTACATCTGAATTTTGATATGAAACTAACCATGGCAGCAAGTGCTTTGTATTTGGAATGATATTTGTTTTTCTTGTGAGACGTTTTCAGTTTTTTTTTTCATAGGTTGAAACGGTTACATTAAGTAGCACTTATAAAAAGCATTGTTAGACTCTCTGTTGCACATGATGAATTAAGTATGATGATCAGTTGGGTTGTCAAATGAGTTTAAGGCTTTTGATAATGTTATTGAATGATGAAACCATATATGAGTTGGAGCCTAATTAAACTGGGATTGGGCAGTTTGATGCTCATGCGAATGTAGATCAAACAAGTAGTCATTGAGGATGGATGATGATGGTGACGTTGATATTTTTTTCTCCAATTGGAACAAGAAGAATCCAACCGATCGCCTTTTGTTGTCTCTTGCCTTATCGCTGCTCTAATTGGAATTTTAACTATAGCCTACATGTGGATTGCCATAGTAGCATGTCCAATGAAACAGGTGATACTTGTGATTTAGGTCTATTCAGAAGGTTGACTTGACTCTATCCCCTCTTCATGCCTGCTGGATTTTTGAGCTCCATTAATGAGATAGCATCTTCAGTATGTGCAACTATTAGGAGTCAGAGCCACAAGTCCACGCATAAAAAATGCAACCTCTGTTGTTTAACAGTGGAGCCGCGCGGCTATACGCTATAAATAGAAATTTTTAACAGTATAGCCGCGCGGCTATACTATTTACATACAATATTAGGAGTCAGAGCAACAAGTCCAAGCATGGAAATGAAACCTCTGTTGTCACGGGAAATAGTAGTAGTACTGGGGATATGTCCACAGAAAGCACAGTTGATACTCATCAAGCTGTTAATCTCTCCTCAGTTGATATCTATGGAGTTTGGTGAACCTATTCCTCTATTATTATTTCTGATGCATCATATATTGTTGCTGAATTGTTGCATGTGCTTGTGTTTCATGTAGGTTTTTGAGCTGAGCTCAACACAAGGACCGGAGGTGGGTCTTTATTTATTCAGAAAGGTGCCGCACCATAGAAAAGCAAAACTTTGTGTCTCCTCCTCCAGTTGCTATTCCACCTGCTGGAATATGGAATGATCTGGCTAGAATTTTCTACTAATCTTCGGCTTGATGTTGTCAGGTTTGCAGATAATGCTGTAAATTGAGAGAGGCAAGTGCATAGGGTTGCAAGACTAAGAAAGAAACTGTGTTTGTATAGTGCAGCGGCCAATGGCTTTATTTTTAAGCCATCAATATAGTTCTTACGTCTCTTGAAGAATCGTTCGGCTTTGAAAATTTCCAAGCTCCCTACAAGCATCACATCTTTCTCAGTGTATTAAAAACACTTACAATAATAGTTTTTACTGTCCTGGCGGAAGTGGCCCTAATAGACATTATCTAATAATGAAAACAAAGGCATCTGTAGAAGATTTGTTTGACGAGCAAAACAAAACGATGTAATGTTAAGTAACCTAGTAAGAGGATATCAGAATTTCACATTTCTGATGTCTTGCACATGATAGGAAGAAAACATCGCTGTGGACTAGTGAAGAATCATGTGTAGGGGGAGGAGTAGCCAAAACACCTCCTGATGGAAAATAAGCCTCTTCTAGCCGGCAATGACTCGGGTTTATCCTCAGATTTATTGTGAGGAAAGTGCCTGTGAAAGGCATTCACTGCTCCTGTCACCCCATCTTCGCCATCCATGGCCTTGGCAATTTCAACAGCACGCTCTTTAACCTTTCAACCGAAAATAGTTATTTCTTTATTAATTAATCTATTCAGGTCCACATTAGGGATTGAAATAACAGAAAATACCCGAGAGTTGTGACAAGTATTTGCATGTTGAAATTGATTACAAAACAATGTCAACTTCAATTAAATCAGTGCGTATGCATGTGTGATAAGTTTACACTCAAGAAATGACAAATTATATGTAAATCACTTGGAAGTTTAAAAAGAAAATGGTAAATACCTTTGGATCTAACATGAAGCGTATGGCATCGACCAACTTTTCAAGCGAGAATTCATCAGCTGGAATGGGTGCAGGACCTATTCCTCTGGCATGAACCCTCTCCCCCCAAAATGGCTGGTCCCCGAAGAATGGTACAATTGTGGTTGGACACTAAAGAGAACACAGAATATGAGCCAAATGAGTAACTGAATCATTTACAAATGTAAGACTCCCCAAGGATATAGCATTATCAGTTACCGCAGCTTTCAGACCAGCAGCAGTTGTCCCAGCACCCCCATGATGCACCTAAGAAATTTTTTCATATCCAGTGAGAAACCGGGAGTAGCCTAGTTATCCAAGGGGGGAACAAAACAAAAAACGACAAAAAGGTGCATCAAGTTCATGTGACGTTCTGAACACCAGTGCAGTGAAATCCCAACCAAATTAAGAAGAATTAAAAGCATTGAAATTTACCACAGCAGAGCATCGTTGGAATAGCCAATCATGGGGGCAATTGTCCACTAAATACACAGAATCACTTGGTTCTGTCACTGAGAAGAGAAACATATGAAGGCTTTCAGATGTAAAGAAGCATAAGAATACAATGTGCTTGAAAGTAATATTTTTTTAAGAATCAAGACTTACAATTACCAAGGCCACCCCAGCCTCGGTTGATGATGCCTCTCTGTCCAGTTATTTCCAGAGCTTGAAGAGTAATATTGGTAATTTTCTCTGGTTCTTCAAGAGGCTAATACAATACACATAAAAAAAAAATTGAGCAAGCAAGTCAATTACCATTTCAACCAAATGTACAATCATGTAACCTTAACTATGCAATTCAGAGGTATACTCTGCATGTATTAGACATGCCTCAGTCAAATTAGACATTGAACAACTGAACAACCAAAAGGTCGATTTGTCATCTGTCATGAATAGACCTCCACAACCTGTTCGTTGTGGACCAACATGAAGGTGGTCACTCTTTGGAGATTGTGGCTTTGGTTGATTGTTTTAATTGGGAAGGAACAAATAATTTTTTTAGGGTAAGGACAAAACAGAGCTACTCTGGGATAGAACTGGGAAAAGAATATTAAACATGAATAGAGAAAGCTGCAACAAACTCACAAGGCTACCAAATCCAATGTAGACAGGCTGTTCACCAGCTTCCAGCCACTCCACAAGTGAATCTGGGGGTTCATAATTTGAAGCAAGGTCAAGAAAACAAAAACCAACAACATCAACCTTCGGTCCCCAATCTGCCAAACAAGTAAAATGTAGAGCATATCAGCACATAATCAGCATACTGTATTCTCATTTGGTCAAGCTGGTCTATTTCTACCACATCAAATCCTATTCCTGATGTTGGAATCCCACATCGGTGGGGTGAAAGAAAACAAATGGGTTTAAATAGAATTACCACACTCTAACTAATACCGAGGCCTTTTGTGATAAAAACCTCACACCTGACGGATTGGGCGGGTGGTAAAGTGGGGACAGTATCGGTGTTGTTAGAGTGGGACCCAACGGGCAGATCCAAATTTTCAACACCTGAGGCTTCTGCAATATTATAAGCATAATATTGCTAGAACAAGAAGAAGCCCATGTAATAAGATGTGCTTAATAATCCAAAACCACCATGAGGATTCTGAAATGACCATGTATCTCTATCATATCTTCAGCAAGAAATTAAAAATAAATAGTCTGAGTAATGGCAGAAGGCATCTTCTGGTACTGTTTCTCCATATTAAATGAAATTATGACTTTAGTTTACTTTTAATGAAATAAATTACCTCGAAGAGTCATAAACTAGTGGAGGGATCTAGCAGACAGTAGATTGTGAATCACATACATTTTTAGCCAACAAGATTATCAACATACTATAAAGTGCAAAACAAGTAAGAAACAAGGTGAAGAGTAGTAAGGAAATCCACAAGGAAAAAAATAGTAACAAGCTCTCAACAGATAGTTGCAACTGGAAGTCACTCAACACCTAGTGGGCAATGCATTAAAGTACTGTAGAAATAAAGGCAACCTCTGAGCAATATGGAAAGAAGGGCAGAAATTAATCTTCCATTATGACATTCTAAATGAGCAGTTCAACTTAGCATAGCAGAAAACTGTGACTTTACATCATGTCAATTCATGCAAAGTTTTCATCTGAAGGAAAAAAGATTCAAATATATGACCTTTAGGTTTGGGAACAAGATGAGGACTCCATATATACCCGTAGGGCACGTCAGGAGGAGAACTATAGTATCCACTTAAATATGTGATAGGTCTCAGCTTCAGCATTTTCTTCCTAAACTCATTTATCATGTCTCGAATTCCTAGCCAAATTAATGCATCGACTATTTGATATGATAGCTGGAAAGAAAAGAAAAATGTTTAATCACAAAATATAGGACTGGGAAACAAATGCATCAATATAAATCAAAATCAGTAAGATATATAAGTATCATATGAGACTCACTCTATATCCAATTGGTTGCTTGACACGGGATAGAGGATGGGGGAATTCGCTTGTAGGCCTAAGCAAAGTTAAATAATTATTAAGCAATTGATCAAATATGCAAAGTTGATGAAGAAAACAGTAAGCAACATGCAAACATGAAATAATATTGGATGCAAAAGGACCCTTTTGGTGCCTTTCCAGGGTCACTTGTTTCTCAGCACATTTAACATATATACATATGTGACGAAGAGCTCCTACATTGATAATCTACTGTGTCGTTGAGAAATATCTCATGAACAATGTACGATGAAACTGTTAATCAACAAATTAATCATTTAATAAAAAAATCAGAATTGGATTTTAACCCAGAAGACAATACTTACGTCCATGGCATTGTGAAAAATATATGAAGTGGTACTTTTAATGCCTCAGCAACATCAGAATGCCCTGGACAAATGTTTGCAAAGTTAAGAGTCTACTAAATGATATCAAACAACATAAAATTCGTTCAGCTTTTGATATCAAGTTAAACAGTTCAGATGTTTAATTTAAATAGATCTTCTCGTTATTGTAATTTCCAAAGAACATAAACATGGAGACTTTTGGAGCATTAAGTGCTTCAGACAATGTCACCATGCACCCATCAATATTGTCAGAGGTAAATTGCCTTACACGTATCAATAAGTGAACAAAGGGTCTTAATTATTTCAATGGTAATAGAAACCACAAGCACACAAACACCATGGCCTCTTAGTTCTTAAAGTCAAATATTGTGTGTGGCCAATGCAATTTTTTTGAATAAGGCATTGATACTTGAAAACCCAAAAGAATATAAATAAGATGATGAAATCTAACCATATGCTGGTGGGTTGGCAATTATCGCATCTGCTTTAAATGGAACTTCAGAATCAGGATCAGGTTCCTTGCATGCAGGAAGTAAAGAAAAAATGATTTCCTTTATTTGATTTCGCTGAATTGATATTTCCGAAGGTCCTGATGGCAAGAAACCCTTATTCTTGACCATATCTGTATAGAACAAATACATTACATCAAGGCAAAGCCCCCACCCCATAAAGAAAAAAGAACATAAGTGTATAGAAAGAATGGAAAACATGTCAAATTATCAAAAGAACAAGCCATCAAGCCGGTGCAAAGTTTTACAGTACAAGAAACTTCTACTGTTTGAAACTTTTAAGGCAATCCACATTTGTGTGTTTTTGAAGGAATGCACAGAAGCCTGAATCTTCAGTTCCATATATCCAAGATTAAAATGATTCAAGCAAGCAGCACCTAAAACCTCAATGTCAAAACAAGTTTATGAGTAGACTTTTTACAAAATATATTTTTTAGCAATTACCAAATGAGGGAATAAGCAGACCAAACACTCATGAAAAAGTACACAGGATATTAAAAAAAATAAAAGGTTAGGAAACAAACTCTGCACTTACAACCAGCAAGAACTTTTGGATCTCCACCTAAAGGAAAGAACTCTAACCCAGCAGTAAGGACGAAATCTTTGAAATTTGCATGAGTTGCTAGCCTAACCCTATGGCCATATTCCTGCAAGTAAAATAACACATCCATCAATCCACATAAAATAAGGGATACAGTTCCAAGATCACGCAAAAAATATGTCTATTCTCAAAAAATTTTATCGCCTTAGAAGTTTCCATAACAAAAAATAAAACTCTAAAATTACTCAACTAGTATCCAGCGTTGGCAGTGTCATATAAGAACATCCAGGGTTAAGTAAATGGATATGAGCTACTTCAAAAAGTTTCAAAGAATACAGAAATCAATGGCATGCAACAGTTTCAACAATAACCAACAGGTACAATCCCAGCAATAAATCAACAAAGCAACTGAAATTTCAAAACAGCAACAGCTGGCATTTCAATTGATACAACAGTACAGAACGCTTAGAAAAGCGGGCGTGGGAATGTAGCCAGCAAAAAAATCACAAATTCACTTACAATTAATGTCAACATTCCTAAAGATTGTAAATAAAAAGTCATGAAAATTTCACTGATAAGTTCTGAAAAGCTAAAAGCGCATAAATATAGAACCTGCAAACTTTTTCCAATGGCAACAAACGGTTGTACATCTCCTCGTGTACCGACAATAAGCATTACAATTTGCAGCGGACGTATATCTAGAACTTCAGCTTCTGTTTCACCAGAAGAAGGTTTTTCATCACAAGGTTCACCGTGAACAACTCCAGTTCCAAAATCCAGCTGCTGTGGTTTAATATCTCCCGGAACGTCAAACTGTACAGTCCCGTCATCTTGAACTCTTGCCAGGCGGTTTATATATTTACGCTGCATAAGTGTAAAGCAGTGATAAATCCTACAAATTTCAAGCAACAAAATCTACAAAACATTATTAAATTCGAAAAACAAGTAAATTTTTTGCATACCTTCTTTCTAAAAGGAGTTCTGTGGTCGAAGAGTTTGGCTAGAATCGCAGCCAATGACTGATTATGAGTCAACCTCGCGCTTGCAGTGAGCTGACTCGAACTAGAACTCGAATGCGTTGATGTTCCGACGGCCGATGATTCTCCAGTCGTTCTCTCTGTTTGCAAATCCCTCTCAACAATCCCTACGCAATCCACATTTTTCCAAAAAATCAAAATATAATTACGGAAATACTTCAATAATAACAACGATAATGATGAATAAAAAGGCGAAGAAACCTGAAGAAGCGGTGGCATTGTCGACATTCGGAGGAGAGACTTCGGCTTCGAAATACACAGAATTGTCACTGGAACTACCGGAATGGCTTCCGCGATCGTTGGATGAAAACTCCGCCATGGATATGGATTTGTAAATTGCAGTGAGAGATTCTCAAGGTTAACGATGAGAATGGGAAAGGTATCGTAACGTCCTTCTGGTTAAGAGGAGTTGTTGTCGTTAACCGTTTAAGGCACCAAAAAGCGAAAAGGGAAAATGAAGAAAAGAAGAGAGTGGAGAGGTCACGTGGAGGACCAAACGGTTGGAATTTGCAAACTTGGACACGTCTCCCACTGAGAGGGCGCCAAATACGATGTAATAAACCCGAACTACCCGACCCATGAGTTTTTCACGGGCCGGGTTAACACCGGCCTGAATTCGAATTCGAACCCTCATCAGAAGTGAGTGAGAGTGGCTTCTAACAGTCCACGTGTTCTCACTGTGCACTCAACACCCATAGCCAAACACCTACCTATCTTTTCTCCTCTTCTCTTCCTGTATGCTGTCGTTTACCTCTCAGTCTCAGTGGAGGGCTCATCAGAGCTCGGGCAATGGCGGCTGAATCTATAGCAATGCTACCCTGGACCATCTCATCCTCCATTCCCTCCGACCACGTCTCTCAGAGTCACAGCTCTGCAGCACCTTCTAGAAATTGCGTGGTTGCCAGATACTCGTCGACACAATCTTCGTTGCTCTTCTCCAAGGACTCGCTGCGGAAATGCTTGCGGCCGCTAAAAGCGTTGGTGGCTTCGGAAACTCCGGACGTTCCTACGACGCCGTTTACTGGAGATGATAAAGTCGGAGTCTTGTTGCTCAACCTTGGTGGCCCCGAGACTCTTGACGATGTCCAACCCTTCTTGTTCAACCTCTTCGCAGACCCTGTAACTTCTCAAGCTCTGAATTCTTATTATTTTTTCTAGTTTTAATTACTGAATTTTAACAAAAGGACATTAATTTGAATTTTGTAACTTTACTGTGCATATCAATTAAAGTTGCTGTTTTGAAATGGTGATTTTGAGTGTATGTAACAAAATGGGCAGGATATCATCAGACTGCCAAGATTGTTCCGTTTTCTTCAAAAGCCGTTGGCGCAATTTATATCTGTTCTCAGGGCACCAAAGAGCAAAGAAGGCTACGCCTCAATTGGCGGTGGTTCTCCTCTTCGACGAATAACTGATGCACAGGCATGACATCTAATTTTCTCTTCACATCCATTGACTAAGTTTTCTTAAATTGCATGCAGATTGTAGAAAGAGTAGTGCTTTAAGCTTAATGGAAATGCTATCTAGTCAGAAATTCATTGGGTACCTTTTTCTTCCTTCAGGCGGAAGAGTTGAGGAAGGCTCTTTGGGCGAAGGATGTCCCTGCAAAAGTGTATGTGGGTATGCGTTATTGGCATCCATTTACTGAAGAAGCTATCAAACAGGTATTTATGGTCAACCTTAATTCTGATTTTCAAGATATCCGTTAATGATATCGAAGCTAATGAATTATTTGTACTTTGAAAAGTAAACAAATCTATAGCTTATGTTGAATCATTCTACATCAACTTTAGTTCACCAATTACTCGAAACTTGTTCTTCTTTCTTTATATACGATGCCACCTGATTATAGTAGTTATTCTGCACTTTTGTCAAGTTTTAGTTGAAAATCCAATTCATCAGGTAACCTGCAAATTTGTTATCTGGCATTTAGGTTTTTGCTTGCGCTCTATCAATTCTCGAGCTAGTTTTGTGAACCAAAGTTCATGGATCTTCTTGTTGGTTTCAAAACAATTTTGTAGATAAAAAGAGATGGAATTACAAAGCTTGTTGTCCTTCCACTTTATCCACAATTTTCAATATCAACTAGCGGTTCAAGCCTTCGGCTTTTGGAGAGTATATTCAGGTGATGTCTAACTCTAGCCATGTGTTTCCTTATCATTGTCCTACAGTATAATCTTTAATTTGACCATATAGTTCGTTGGTTTATCAGGGAGGATGAATATCTAGTCAACATGCAGCACACAGTAATACCATCCTGGTACCAGCGTGAAGGGTACATAACAGCAATGGCAAATTTGATTGAAAGGGAGCTTCAAAGTTTTGATAGCCCTGAGAAGGTGTTGTTAACTTCTTCTTTTTTCACATTGTTAAAACTTGTTTTAGGTGGCAAATGGCTAAGATTTAGGTTCATGGAAATGTGCATTTTAGGTAATGATATTCTTTAGCGCACATGGGGTGCCACTTGCATATGTGGAAGAGGCTGGCGATCCATACAAGGCAGAGATGGAGGAATGCATAGATTTGATAATGGAAGAATTAGAAAAGAGAAAAATAACTAATGCATACACCCTTGCCTATCAGGTGCGCTTGTGCTTTTAATTTGATCTGATTTAAATGTCTCCTGATTTAGAACTATCTATAGGTAAATTTCACTTTGACGTGGATAATAGAATACAATATTGGTAAATCATCTTGTTCTTAAAGAAATGCATGAGAAAGTAATCCTACACAAAAAAGAAAACTAAAGACTATTTCAGAATAGGAAACTTAACTTCACTGGAGGTCTGGTTTTTGACTCGCTCTGATAGGGCTCTCAAGAATAGGGATAGGTTTTTCAAAGATCATCTACAAAATAGTGTAATACTTGTTATTTCATGTGAGATTTTTATGATTGTATTCTATGTCTATCTTCTGCATACATAATATATTATTCATGACATGGTTGATAGCTAGTGAATGTTCTTACAGAGCAGAGTTGGACCTGTGGAGTGGTTAAAGCCTTATACCGATGAGACAATAGTTGAGCTTGGGCAAAAGGGAGTTAAAAGGCTGCTGGCAGTCCCTATAAGGTAATTGTACGGATGCAAACCAGACAATCATATGTATGAATCGTGGAACTTAGTTTTGTGATTAAAGTTTGATGCTTGATCCACAGCTTTGTCAGCGAGCATATTGAAACTCTAGAAGAAATTGACGTTGAGTACAAAGAATTGGCTATGAAATCTGGTATAGAGATTTGGGGGCGTGTTCCTGCACTAGGATGTGAGGCCACCTTCATTTCAGATTTGGCAGATGCTGTGATTGAGAGCCTGCCATATGTTGGAGCTATGGCAGTCTCTAATCTTGAAGCTCGACAGGTAAACTCCCTCCTGAACAATGTTGTTCCTTGTGTGTGTCTTGCGTGCACATGGGTGTGTGTGGGTGGCAGAGAGAAGCTTGCAAAGAGTAACATGTTTTGTTTATTTGCCCCTGCTGTTTTTTTGTATTGAAAACCCATCTTGGATAGGTCCTTACTATACTTTATGCTTGTCTTTGGATGACGTTTGGGTATTTTCTCGCAGCCTTTAGTGCCACTTGGGAGTGTGGAAGAGTTGTTAGCGGCCTATGATTCACAGCGTAGGGAGTTACCAGCACCTGTGACAGTTTGGGAATGGGGTTGGACAAAAAGTGCCGAGACATGGAATGGAAGAGCAGCTATGTTGGCGGTGGTTGTTCTATTGGTGCTAGAAGTCACCACTGGGGAGGGGTTTCTGCACCAATGGGGCATATTGCCCATACGTCGCTGAATCTAATCCCCCTTTCCCTCCTCCTCCCTTATCCTTCTTATTCTTCTTTTTCCTTTTCCTAAATGTACCTATTCATAATATGAAGCCGTTTTCTTCTTTTTTCCCCATACATGTTTTATGTTACATTACATACTAAGGCATTTGAGTCCCTGCTTACATGATCAAGTATAGGCCGTTGAGGTGCAGCACTTTGTGTGGGGGCAAAAGTTGAAAATTTGTATGATATATATAAGTGGTCCTGTAATCCTTCTGTTCACAGCCTCGCACAATGTTCCTTGAATTTTCATGTGGTGGTAAGTTTTGTGCTCTCCTTGACAGTTTCTTCTTTTTATGTACAAAATAATTACAAAACATACAAGGCCCAGCCCACAGATAAAATTTGGCCCAAAAAAAGAAGAAGAAAAGCCCACGGATAAAAGCCGATGGACCATAAATGTAACACTAACTCCTATGGGGCCCAACGGACAGTGACGTGTCATATCGAGGTCGCGTGTCCTCTTGGGCGCGCGTGCAGCAAAAGCTGATACTGTCTTCTGTCTGTTCTTGTTTCGTACTGCTTATCCTCTTTGGCACGTGAATTTCCCTTGCCTGTTCAAAGATGGGGCCGCCTGCAGGACGGGACGTATAAGCTTTAGCCACGTTGAAACGCGCGAACAAGCGAGCGTATCAACACGTGTTAATTTCACCCGCGTGCCCGCCTCGCATAGGAGATTCAATTTCAAAGAGAGAGGCGTTTTGAATATTACGAACCGAAAAATAAAAAAACGCTAAAAAGGTGAAACGTTTCGATGACTCACTCAGTCATTTCACGGTCACTGATAAATGCTCTCTCTCCCTCTCTCTCCTCTGTCTTTCTACTGAGGAACAGCTAGTAAAGCACTCACATTTGATTTTTCTAGGCACACAGAGGTCTCAGCTGTGGTGGGTGCTTGGACGTCGTTGAGCTCATCCTTCGGTTCCGGTTTGACCCTTCTCCATTCTCTTTTTACCTAATGCTCTCAATTCAAGTGATTTTTTCCTTAGACATTCAATTAGTCATGTGTTTGTGGAAATTGTACAATTTAGCTTTGCGTCATGGAAAATGAGTTTAGCGCTGGGAAACAAGAAACACAAAACAAAATAAAGAAAATTTGGTGGGTCTAGCTTAGTGCAGGATTTGGGTGTGGGCGCGAAAAGATCAAATAAAGCAAAACTTGGACGAGAATGATGCTTGTTTAGTAAACCCATGTGAGAAATGTGTATAATCACCCAGGCATTGCTGAGAACCTGAGGTTCTCTGTAACTGTTTAGCTTAATAAGAAGGCCATGAATGCAAAATGCAAAATGATTCTCTTGTTCTGTTTGTTCCTTATTCTGTGAATGGCATGCGTTAGGCTACTTGAATTCAAATTGATTCTGAAGTTCAAACATTTATGTGAATGGCATGCGTTTAGCTTCTCTTGCTATGCTTATTCTTTAATATGCAAAAGGAATTTATGCTTGTACCTCACTGCCTGTGTTTTAGGTGGAGAATGTTAGTACAATTTTTGTTTGCCGCATTCCTCGTAATAGTGATTCACTATTTCAGAGTAGTCGAAATCCGTCTTTTGCCCTTCAGCTATCATTGTGTTGCTACTCATAACTGTATTAA